CCCCCGAATTCTAGTCAAAGAGGAACGAAAAGGACGTGCCAAGGTGAGCTGAAAAGATACAAGGATTGTGGGCATTTTGGCCCATTGCTTGGGTTGAACGAAGTGAGGCTATCGAGCCCGTAAAAAGTTCACACCTTTACACCTAGTCCCCCTCTCAGAAAGTGAAGTCGGACTTTTTCACAGTTGTCGACGTCGAAGAGTGTCCAAGGTTGGAACAAAACTGCACTGAGGGAGTAAGCGACTCCCCCTTTGTCCCCCGTTAGCTGCTTCTTGAGGTCTCCTTTTTCTCACGGCGTTTCGCCATGTGTTCCTGGACTATCTGCACGCTTCTCCATGTAGAGTTGGGTAGACTTCTTGTCCATCCCCCCCCTGTAGTTTGGCCTTCACTATGTCGCCCTTCCTGTCCAAGTCACGAACTCTGAGTATAAGGCGTCCCCCACCCAGTGCAGAGGTACTGAAAGGTCAGCGTGTCAGGGACGTCAGGAAGGCCGTTGGTGGAGAAGAGCGTCCCCTTCTCTGCCAAAAGGTCCGAGAGCAAGCTCTTGCAGTGTAGAGGTATTGCGCGCGTCTAAAAACCTGCAAGGGGCCTCTGAAACAACTCTCTCTCTCTCTCTCTCTCTCTCGACCAGGTAAAGGGAAAGAAAGGGGCAGAGTCCCCCCCCCCCCGCACGCGTACGCGCACCTTCATGTCCTGGCAGGGTTTTCAGAAATCCTGGCGGTTTCCCCCCTAGGCTCGGCTGTACTGCCCAATAACACTGACATATCCAGTTCGCAGTAACTCGCCGTCCCTCTCTTTCGCTCTTTCCCTCCCCCACAGCTCACCCATGTCGCTTTGTCTTCCTCTTTCCCTCGCGCTTTCTCTTTCTCATTCGCTTTCTCCTTCTCCTTCTGCTTCTCCTTCTCCTTCTCCTTTTCCTTCTCCTTCGCCTTCTCCTTCTCCTTCTGCTCCTTCTCCTTCTTATTTTCCGTCTCTCTCCCTCCTCTCTCAGCTGTACAACGGCTGATCGGAGATCGTGCCCCAGCTAACAAGTAGGTGTCAGAATCAAAACGGCCTGTCAGCAGCCCTGCTAAACATGCAGCCTAGCCGCCTCCACTGGGATCGGTTATTGGAATGGGTTGCAAGGTTCTGTATAGATTGGTAGTCAACGGAGTTGCAACGGAGCTGCGACGGGAGCTGCAACGGCAGCTGTAACGGGGAGCTGTAACGGAGCTGCAGTTGGAGCGGTAGCGGAGCTGCAACGGGAGCTGTAAAGGGAAGTCCCCAGATGTGTTGCAACATACCCCGAAAGTTTCACGGCATGGGCCCGCCGGGGATAGTAAATGATGGTAGAGAACACCCTTAAACCTATATCCTACAGTCGCATGGCAATGGCTGCACCGGGTCCTATCCAGCCCTTCGGATGTCCATAGCTGTCAACGTGGACAACGGCGCCGTGTTACATGAGGACCGAAGTTGGTTTACAAAATGTCATGCCAAAAGTACGGCCACATTGGCGAAAGTCCGATCCATGGGCGAACGCGTGATCTGCAGCGTCATTTGCCATGTGCGAAGGCACTGTGTACGAGCTCCTGGGTGCTACTCTCAGGTGTTTAAGCATGAAGCAGTAACGCACATTGTTGGAGCCGACGAGAATACTCAGCAAGGCAAGGAGTCTGCAAGACAGCGTTGCAAACAGGTCAACACTGGGCCAGGATGGCAGTCACCACAGACAGGTCGAAACTCTTCTTGGAATTCTCCCGGAGCTCGCGGCTGAGAACCTCGATTTGCTAACATGCGGGTCCTCCGAACATAAACATATGTAGGCGTACTTAGCTCTGCCTGCAACAAATTCTCGTGCTCGGCCAGGATTTCCAAGTTCGTCGGCTGCAGAGCAGGGGCCACATGACTCAGAGCCGTCAGGCTAGGCCGCTTAGGCTGCTAGACGTCCTTTGCATGTGCCTCTGTGCAGACTCTCAGGATGTGTTTCACCCCGATGACCTTTTTCTCCATGCGGTCCTGGCCAACCGCCAGCTGCCAGCTGGAGGGAGTCGACTGCCCACCGGCCTCGTAGAGCTGGTCAGCATAATCCTCGATGTTCCGCACATCTGCCTGTGGTAGCAAAGGCTCCTGCAAGCAACGGAGCGTAAGCAGTCGCGCTACCAGTCGTCGTTCGAGCACATGTAACGCTTCCTGCCGACGCTGCTGCGGAGCTGGCGGTGGAGGCGGTGGCGGCGGAGGAGGCGGCTCCTTCGACTCGTGTGAACTTCGTGGGCAGCAGACGACAACAACGTCCAATCGGCGACATGTGTGCAGGTAGCTAGATTTCCGAACCGACATCGAAGTCTAACGGGAGCGAGACAGAGCTCACGATTCGGGCGTGGGACCGGCGACCTGCTTGGCCGTGATGTCTTGACAGTTTTGCTGCCCTGGAGCGCTTGTGATGTTTCATCCTAGATCCTCTGCTGTCTGAGCACCAGCCACGCTTAGCAACAGAAAGGCAGATACAGCCGGTGTCCTGCCGCTGTCCATGCTGTGGCTGGTGCATGTGCGGGTGCTGCCGCTGGTCCAACTGCCCTGCCTGTCTTGTCGAGGAGAGATCAACAAGGTACGCGGGGACCGTCCAATGCTACGACACACATGTGCGGTCTTCGCTTCCTACAATGCTCGTTGCAGGTCAGATTCGGGTGCGCTTGATCCGCAGCTAATCCCCTCAATCTGAAAGCAGGCCTGTGAGTTGCTGCACCAGGTCAAAGTTCGGAGTGACTAAACAACATAGAACAACCACACCTGAATACTCCAGCGATCCGAAGTTCCGACTGACGCATGTACTGCTACAGACGAGGTCTGGTGGCCGTGCGACATATGAACCGGAACAGGGATGAAGACGACCAACACCACGAGCGGTGGCGGTGGTGGTGGTGGTGGGGGCGGCGGCGGCGGCGGTGGTGATTCATGAAACGATATTTCCCCACTAGCCGGCATTCGGATTTCGGCTATTAGAGACAAGCCTGCTACACGACGATGACGAGCAGGAACAGGGTGACAACGAGGATGGCAGCATGAACAACTAGATGATCGAGTTTCGAAAGCCTCGTGCTCTGCCAGCGCCATTAGCAGCTGCTCAACTTCACCAGCCTGACAAGCAACTCTGTACCATGCACTCTGTCAGCAAGGAGTCTTAGAGCAAGCCTTCGAAGCTGGGATGTACTTCTTAAACTTCTCCATGACCTCCTGCGTGAGTCCGCGCACCTCAGATCCTGCCAGCTATTGAAATTGCAACTGGGCACCGGGGGCCAGAAAGCGCCAGTCTTGGTCCTCGCATGCCTCTCGGAACACGAATGATTTTCTGCCCAGGCTGCGACTCTGATCTGACCTTGCTTGAAGTTTCCACAATGTCGAGCAAACAAGACAGCTCAAGCTGACGCGACCCACTTGCAAGCACGCAAAAAGCAAAAGCAAACAGGACAAAGCTGCAGGATTGCCATACTCATCGAAGTGGTGAACTTCAGTTGTGTAGGATACCTCCCCCAGACACGGCACATTGCTCCACTAGACATGACTCCTTCTGTGCCACTTCATAGGTCACTATGAGCACGAGCTGCTCGGGGTCCGCATCAATCTGGCCTTGCGCAGCACTCACAGACTCTTCAAGGCTGCGAAAGAAAGCCAAGGAAACTTGGACAGCCCACCGAGGCGGACTTTTTTCTTGGTGGACATCACATGGACCTTGCAAATCATCAATATCACAATGCTTTCTTAAACACTTCTGTCAAGACTAACAAACATGTGCGGCAATTCAGGGAGCTGAAACACGACTCCGAAGGTGGATGTGTGTCACATCAGGAAGATCGTAGACCACTTTCGGATCGTGATGCTCCAGCGGAGACCGCAGCGAATCAAGCATTCATGCCTGCAAATGCAGGAACCTGGACCGCACCCGATTTTTTTTGCCAATATATTGCCAGCAAACTGCGACCCGAGGCTACGCACACAAACAACCCCTTATTAACTACTGCGGATGCAATGTGCCAAATCAAGACTGGCCCCTTGCAACAACACTGCAGAACAGCATGCATACTGGGGTGCAGGCGGTTCGCGGAACATGCGAGCTTCAATCAACGAGGTACTACAAGTACAATCTTTTAGAAAGCTGACGATCTAGGGCTTGTGGATTACCCATGCCCTAACAGGCAGTGCAGATTTAGCTATTGCTGGCTGGCTATATGGCAGTACACAGCAAGGCTAATAAAGACTTGTCTGACTTCGCATAATGTCTGACTGCATGCGCATTGACTGCCCTTGACGTAACTGCAGGTGCGGCGAAGTTCATCTCTGCATCCCTCAGCCGGAATCATCTCGAGTGGCGACTTGAACCTGTACTGCGCAATCTGGGATCTGATATCATCTGATCGTTTTTAAGCCTTGTAAGACGAGACAAGGCAAGACGGCTTCCGAGTCGAAAGCCATGCTCATTTACAGCGCGGGGGCACAGGCATCCAGTCCAAGAAACATACATACTGGTTTGCTGGGGAGCAAGGTTGCAGTGGTTTGAGGGGTGCTGGGTGCCGTGCCTACGGTGCGCGACAGAGTTTGAACTACATGGCCATTTCGACCTGACATTAACTGTCGAAGAAATTCCCTATGAACAAAAGCCCCAGTTAAGGGATGTCCGAGAATCTCTCCTGTCAAAGCGGGCGAAGCCACGGCCATGCCCCCTTCAGTTGGAACAGTGGTGCATGCATGCAGGCCTGTGATTTGCATCATCAGTCTCTGGCAGAGACAGTACCTGCCAAAGACACTCGCAGCGGTGATAAGTAAACTGAATGGCAAGGTCATGAGAGAGCACCATGCCCGCGGTGCCGTTCTCGACCACAACGGCCTCCTCGAGCAAGCGACGTCGTTTCTTCTCGTCCGCACTCCATGAAGTCCAAAGGCACTCCTGCTGTCGACGCATCCGCGCTGCTGGCGGTGTTTCCGGAGAGTCGGCACGGGAGAGTGTAGCTGGACCCAGGCCAGCCTCGCCGCGCACACACTCCTAGCTGGTCCTAGCTTCGAGCTTCGATTTGATTGCAAAGCAAAACTACCGTGCCATCGTCAACGGAGCTGGAGTCTCGAATTCTGCCCGTGCAGATGGCCTTGGTGCACACTTTCACATCGTCTTTCACGGCACCAATTCTGGAATCACATCCCTTTCTGCTCTCGCGGGGGAATCAGCCACCTCTCTGGAATTTCCAAGCCACAACTTGTGTCGGGTTCCAAATCCTCCTATTGATCGCAGTGCAACCTATGTTTGTTTGATTTTGGATGTTGCTCTGTGAACGAAAAGAGTAAGTTATCGTTCCGTAGATTGGCCAAAGCCTTCATCTCTGGCTTCACAGTTGGAGATGAAGGGTCATGAAGCCCAAGAGCTGCTCGCCTTGCAACGGTTTGGCGGTAGGTGATTACTGATTGCTGCAAGTTTGGGGTGTGTCCGAAAATCTGTTTGCCCGATGATGGGCATTGCGGAACAGGCTCGCCAGTGCAAGGTGTTGAGGATTTCTGATACATTTCCGGGCTCGCTGGACTCGGACGATTATCCTGATCGCCCCATCGGCTGCCGTAGCTGATGAAGCTGCAATGAGCCAGCGGTCGAGAGTGGTTATCTTCTCCTACCTGAGTGCGATGATACTCTCCTCGACTTGAGCATGAGGCTCGGAACCATTAATGAAACCATCGCATTCGTAGAACAGTCAGTAGTCATCCAAACCAAACCTTTGTAGATGCAGCAGTACCAGTGGAAGCCGTGCACAACAAACAAATCAAGCAAGCTACGAAAGCGTAAGGACGTGAAATGAATTAGGGCAGGCTGACACTATGGATTCGAGTTGTTAACGGCTACATGGTATGCAAACACTGACTCCACCAACTTGACCCGCACTTCAGTTGCTCCAAGATGACCCGCTGCTGCCGACCAGCCATGTCGTCCCAGCTTAATTACCCTTCTGAGCCTAAAAGCCGGACTTCCGAAATCAGGCCTGGGAAGGAATGCGAGACTAGAACAAGCACCCGAAACATCTCAGCCTTCCCACAGCAAAACACGACATGCTGTTTCGCGTGATCGCTGCCCACCGACGTCTAGTCTCTCATACAGGCAACGTCGTGTGGCGAGTTGACGCACTCTTTCAGCTCCGTGCCGGGAGGAGGAGCGCAAAGGCTGGCGGCTCGGACCTGATTGCGAAAGCACACCACTTTCAGCGGAGAGAACGAGACTGTTGAGAGCAATTAAGGGTGCAGCCCAAGCCGGCCATGGCCTTGCGTGGCAGGCCTTGGCCCTGGCCAGTGACAAGAAAACCTAAAACCGATACAAGCATAGCAGCATAGACAGGCAGGCCGGCACGCAGGCAGACAGGGCTGAGACGCAGATGCATGCAAAGAGAAAGAGAGACAGACAAGATGGATAGACAGACACGCGGCTAGATCGACAGATGGACCCATCGACAGATCGATAGATCGACAGGTAGGTAGGCAGGCAGGCAGGCAGGCAGGAAGGTAGGTAGGTATTTTGGTAGGCAGGTAGGGAGGTAGGTAGATAGATAGACAGGTTGATAGATAGATAGATAGATAGATAGATAGATAGGTAGATAGATAGATTGATTGAAAGAGATAGATCGATAGATAGATAGATTGATTGAAAGAGATAGACCGATAGATAGGTAGATAGGTAGATCGGTAGATCGGTAGATAGGTAAATAGATATAGAAAGATGGATGGATGGATGGATGGAGGGATGGAGTAATGGAGGGATGGATGGATAGATGGATGGATGGAGGGAGGGATGGATGGATTGATGGATGGATGGATGGATGGATGGATGGAGAAATGAGTGGATCCCCATTGAATTTGTAGATGCACATCCACTCGCGGCGTCAGACACTGCATGCCTTGCGAATGTCGAGCTTGAGAGGCTCAGCCATGCGGTGCCTTCAAAAGTGCAGCGAACGCGTGCACACAGGAATACGAATTCGCCGAGTCGCGAGTCGCGACGCGAGGATGGAGGAGCCTGGAGCCCCCAAAAAGATTCAAGCCATCTTCCGGCGACGCCGAGGGCCCGCACACTAGCACCACTTCTGTGCTGTCTCGCTGGTGCTTGAGCTTCAGAGGTCCACGTGGACTGACCTCAAGCTCCAGTATCTTCCCTGGCATGGGCACGTCCACAACAGGCACTGGCAACAGCCGCCTCGTGACCAAAGCCAGTCCATCGCCATGCTCATCTTAGCTTGGGAGCTGAAACTGGGCCGTGTCCAAGAAACCTAGGAGCTCCCATTCCGAGGCAATGAGCCACACTGGGCTGTGAAGCTTCAGCCGCTCGTCGCTCCTGAAGGAGAAAACCGATCGGATCTGCTGTTAACTTTGTGTTCATATCGCCCCCCTCACTCACAAAGCTCGATGGTGACATTCAGTACTTGAGAACTTGATCTCAACAGGATGATGCTGCAAGAAGCGGAGCAAAAAAGAACACATGGGTTGGTAACAATGGGTGCAGCAAGAATGCCCTTGGCATGACGTGTACGACCTATCACCATTGTCTCGGGTTCTGGTGTGATTGCGATCCGTTCGGAGCCTGATGATGCCGACAGTCGGACATAGCTACAAGACTGGACACCATCACCAACGGCATTCCGATGAAGGGTTTGCAAAGGATCGGACCCGACTCGAGTCAACGGCATACAACCAGCATAAAAACATCACAAAGACCTGGTACTTGACGCATAGTCTTGCCTGTCCTGTTCTGCAAGAATTATGACGGAATGCATCCGGCCATGCATGCAGCTATTGCAGCTTAGTGCCTCTCTTGATTTCAAGTAAATCGGGGGTGACAAGCCCGAAACCGGAAAGGGGCATGGCAAACCTTAGACTTATGCACCAAAAAACAGGAGCGGCAAATCTGAACCCTGGCCCTGGCATGGCGCTTGGCAGATCACATAGGTCCCGAGAACCCAGCAAGCATACGTATCGGCTGGGACCTTCAAACGGCAGGCCCCAAGCCTTCTCCAGAGGCAAGAGTGAAACGACCCTAAACCCTAAAGGGAGTGGGAGTAGCAAACCCTGATTTTCTGTCCAAACTTAAACTACAATCAGACACATCGAGAGTGGTGGCAAGCTTTTGACTCGTGACATTACAATGATATGGAGAGTAGCAAGTGCCAGACCCCAGCATGGGAGAGCATTCGCAAACAGCATCTGTGATGGACCGCAGTTTGCACGAGGAAAAGGCACTTGTCGGAGAAGCGCTGGACAGACCGAACGCCGTTGAAATGGCAAAAGCACGCTCAAACGCGGCGCACCAGGAGGGCATCGCCCAGGCCGTGACGAGAGAAGTCCGCAATTCCTCGCACATGAAACAGGCTTTGGATACCTCGGCATGTTCTAAAGAACGTGCGCTGCTCGCGAGCCTGCATTGTCGCAGGAGCTTCGGCGGGGCACCTGGCAGGTGTGAAATGCGAAAGAGCACGAAGTGACAAAAATATCTCGTGCTTGGCAGCCTGCGCCTTCTCAAGAGGGGAAGACGGGGCTGCAGGTGGATTGCCGAACTGCACCGCTTGCGCCATGGATCTTCTCAGACTCAAATACCTCCCAGAATTGCGCGGCCAGTCGTCCAAGTCTGAGCGGCGAATCGAATTCAGTGCTTTCCAGGTGCTCGTCGCGCAAGCCAGGAACAGGCTCGACCTCCACCCCGGGCTCATGTACTTTCAAAACCTTGGAAGACAAGTCAACTGCAATCCAGGTTTTAGTTGGTGATAGGGCTGTGGTAGTTGTAGTGGTGGTCGTAGTAGAATAGCAACAGTAGTAATAGTAGCAATAGCAGCAGTAGTAGTAGTAGTAGTAGTAGTAGGCGCCCCCCCCCTACCAACCACCTCTGCTGCCAACCCTCTTAAGAGCACGTTCGTTTCACTCGGTATTTACGGTACGTTCGTCCTGTCATACCACTTCTTCTTGCCTCAAAATCCACTCCGCGACTTTGATAAATTCGGCTTC